GTGCAGAGTTTAACTAGGAACAAGGTGAGGGAGCAAGGTCAGAGCGGGCCCCTGCAGTGCCCGGTGCCCTCTCACGCTCAGGCAGCAGGCAGTCAAGGTCCCCTCTGGGCATCTTCCCTCCCTGGTAAGTGGTTTGGGAGGCAGCCCTGCTCCCCGGGGAAAATTCATGTACAGGTGACTTGAATGCAGTTGTTTACAGTTCCTGGGTTTAACTCTGTCAAGTACTGCATTCATATCCCATAGTCGGAACAGAAGTGTTCAACTCTGTCAAGGTTACTTAAGAATGAGAAGAGTAAGTGGTATCTGACATTCCAAGTGAGGTTCAAGTTTGTCTTCAAGAAGCTCCTAGAAGTTTCTGACAGGATTTTACATGGCTAGCAGCCACACCTTCTTCTCCCACCCCTGGGCTGGTCCTTATTTGCTCTGTGACTCCTCCTCCACTCAACCCATAAAAGCCAGAGTGTCCCCACACCACGTTCCTGGGGTGTGATGAGAGATACTGGTTTTCCTGCCCGTTCCTGGCTCCTCACGGCCCTGGTTAGTCTTTTTTTTTTTTTTTTTTTTGAGAGGGAGTCTGAGTCTGGCTCTGTGGCCCAGGCTGGAGTGCAGTGGCCGGATCTCAGCTCACTGCAAGCTCCGCCTCCCGGGTTTACGCCATTCTCCTGCCTCAGCCTCCCGAGTAGCTGGGACTACAGGGGCCCGCCACCTCGCCCGGCTAGTTTTTTTGTATTTTTTAGTAGAGACGGGGTTTCACCATGTTAGCCAGGCTGGTCTCGATCTCCTGACCTCGTGATCCGCCTGTCTCGACCTCCCAAAGTGCTGGGATTACAGGCTTGAGCCACCGCGCCCGGCCGGTTAGTCTTGTTAGAATGCCAGGTGTGTGAGCCTCAGGGGTGCTAGGACCCCACCTTCTCCTGCCCTCCTTCCACTCCACTGCTCCCCTCTCAGTCTTAAGACCCTTCAGGAGAGGGTCCCCCCCTAGACCCAGGGGGAAGGAATGCTGATGTCATGAAGCTCCCATAAAAACCCAAGAAGGCGGGGAGCTTCCTTGCCCCTTCCCCATACCTCGCCCTATGTGTCTCTTCATCTGTATCCTTTGCAATGTCCTGTATAATAAACCGATAAACATAAGGGTTTCCCTGAGCTCTGTGAGTTGCTCCAGCAAATTAATCAAATCCAAACAGAAGGCCAAGGAAATCCCACCTTGAAGCTGGTGGGTCAGAAGTTCCAGAGCCCGGACTTGCTGCTGAGCCCTCAACCTATAGGCTCTGACACTATCTCCAGGTAGGTAGTGTCAGAACAGAATGCGGGGACACCTAGCTGGTGCCCGCTGCTTGGTGTGCGGGGAAACTCCTACACATCTGGTCACAGAAGTCTTCTTCTGTGTTGACTGTTGGAGGTGAGAGCAGAGGAAACATGAAGTTGGAGAGCTTTTCCCTACGCAGTCCCCAAGCGCTATGACCTGCTCTCATAGCTTCAGATGTCATTGGCACACCGCTGGTTCTCAATCTACATCTCTGGTCTCTGAACCCAGACCCATTCTTCACCTTTCAACCTAGGACTTCTTCATTTGAACATCTCAAACTTACCATACCCCAATCAGAAGTAATCACCCCCTCCCAGACCTGTTTCTCTGCCTCTTCCCTCAACAAATGGCACCACCGCACCATCGTCCCAGCGCACAAGCTAGAAACCTAGGTATCACCCTCACTTCTTTTTCCCCTAGGTCCATGCACGATTAGTCACCAAGACCTATGGATTCTCCCGCTTGCCCTTTCTTCTGTCCCCTTCTCCGTACCCAAGCTGCACTCAGTTCTGCCACTTCACTGCCTCTAGTCTTGGGTGTAGGCTGTACTCCTGTCTCCAGCATCCTCTCTGCTAAAGGCTGGGGCCATCACTTGAAGGCACAGATCTGATCATGCAACTCTCCTCCAGTGGCTTCCATCTGTCCTCAGGATGATGCCCAAATGCCTCTGCATGATCTACAAGGTCACTACAAAGCAACCTGTCCACCACTCAACTCTCTCTGCCCACTGCCCCTTTACACTCCATCCTATTGCTCTCTCCAAACTCCCCTACCCGCTCTCCTCTTCTGCCCACTATTTTCTCCTGCTCTTTGCACATGCTGGTACCTTGAATGCTCTCCCTCCATCCCCCATCTCCTGAGGGTCAAGGGCTGGCCCACTACTTGCATGACCCTTTCTCTGGGCAACCTGACTGCCCTGATTGCCCAAGCCTAGGCTGGCTGACTTCTCTCGAATCCCTTGCTGCTTTTTTACTAAGTTCCGCCTGTGAGGTTCAGGTACTGTGCCTGTTGGCTTGCTGCACCTTCAAGTGCTAAGCAGGTACTGTGTTTCACCCACAGCCATATCCCTCCTCAGCACAGGCCTGGCGCAAAGCAGACACTCAAAAACATTTATTAGAAAAGTGAATAATCCTGCATAAATGCTACTGATGAATCTAGCTCCCTGCAAGTCAATGCATTTCACAGATCCAATAATTCTCTTGATAACAGAACAATTAAGATGGTTAGAAAGGCTGGGCGCAGTGGCTCATGCCTGGAATCCCAGCACTCTGGGATGTGGAGGCGGACGTATTACCTGAGGTAAGGAGTTCAAGACCAGCCTGGTCAACATGGTGAAACACCATCTCTACTAAAAATACAAAAATTAGCTGGGTGTGGTGGTGGGCGCCCGTATTCCCAGCTACCCGGGAGGCTGAGGCAGGAGAATCACCTGAACCCGGATGGTGGAGGTTGCAGTGAGCTGAGATCATGCCACTGCACTCCAGGCTGAGTGACAAGAGCGAAACTCCATCTCAAAAAAACAAAAAGATGGTTGGAAAGACCTGGATTAAGACGTACACACACACCCCCCAGTGGTGTTTCAGTACTGACAGCACATTTCTTCAAGAACTAAAATACTTGGTTTTATAAATATCACCTAAGTATTATAATCATCTGAATCCTACCCGGAAACGATATGAAGTTTAACTTCAACAGCACTCAAAGATGTGCCCAGTAACCTTACACCAGGACTGTTTGCCCAAAGATACTTCTTGCTTGCCCACAACTGACTTGGGTGTCATAATTAGGTAAGTTATGAAATGGCAGATTATGAAATGGTTTCGTTTTACTTGGTGGCGGGGACACAGATAAAGAAATTCTACTTATACCTTCTCAAGCTTAGCTACTTCTTACATGAATTAGCTACTATTTTTTGGCATCACAGTATATTTTTAAATGAAAAACAAACAGCATCTCAGTTCAAGTATGTAGGTCTGAGGCTACAGTTTACTTTTCCTTCAGGTTTTAACAACTCGATAGAATTTATAGATGGTCTTTTTCCCTTCATTCATCACAGTAACTGAAAAGCTACTGTCTAAAATTCAATTACCAACTAGCGTACCTGCATGCTACATCTTTTTCCCACTGCACTTCAATAAAGCTGTCATTGCAAACAAAAACATAAAAGTGTGTTGGACAGATCGTCTGCTCTGCTGTTTAATTTCACAGAAATTCTTTTTTTTTTTCTTTGAGATGGAGTCTTGCTCTGTTGCCCAGGCTGGAGTGCAGTGGCGGGATCTCGGCTCACTGCAACCTCTGCCTCCTGGGTTCAAGCGATTCTATTGCCTCAGCCTCCCGAGTAGCTGGGATTACACGTGCCCGCCACCATGCCCGGCTAATTTTTGTATTTTTAGTAGAGACGGGGTTTCACCATGTTGGTCAGAATGGTCTCAAACTCCCGACCTCAGGTGATCCGCCTGCCTCGGCCTCCCGAAGTGTTGGGATTACAGGCGTGAGCCACCGCGCCCGGCCCACAGAAATTCTTTAGCTTTTAAAAGCCATGGAAGCATTCTAGGCAAGTTGTTAACCACTAACAGGAACAAATTCTCCTTACACAAAGCTCAGGCACATTCAAGGGGAGCGAGGCCTGACATGCATCACGGGAAGACACAGCTCTGATCTGGCAACTCTACCTTTCTAAAAGCGTCCGAGCTCCGGGGTGCCCGAGTACCGACAGCCAAAGAACCACAGCATTTACACTTTGCCAGATAAGGAATCGGCTCTGTGAAGGTGCGAAGAACCAAATGCTAGCGATTAATGTCCCAACAACGTGAAAACTTCCTGCAACTCGAAATCCTCAATGGAAACTCTTGTCGAATCCTTGTCGAAACCAAATTAACGATGACTTGTTTCTACAAAGGCTACTGATTTCAGGAAACTAACGTATAACTCGTCGCCTTAAAGCGCCTCTAAAAGCATCCACGACGGTTAAAGTCGCCGCTACTACGAGACGCTATTTATTCAGCGCCAAGACCCAAGCGCCATCGTGGATCACCCCATTCCTGGCCACGGCGACCCTAGGGAGCGGGTCCTAGGAGCCTGCTGGAGGGCGACCGCTGAGCCAGCTGCCTCTCTGCTGACTGAGGGGAGGCCAGGCTGCCTGCAAGGGCGGGGAAGGGGCCCTTTCCGCGCTTACCAGGGTGAGGGCCACCTCCAGCATGGGGGCGAGGGCCAGGGTGCCGTGGAAGAGGGGGATGCAGTCCACGAAGAGGGTGTGGTGGGCGCCCGGGCCGCCCAGGGGGAGGTGCTCCTTACGCGGCTTCTGCTTCTCGGCCACCAGGAGCCCGTTGACGGCGCAGTGCGGGTACTTGGCGCCGTGCAGCACCATCTTGCAGTAGGCCTGGGTGGTCAGCTTCACCCCGGGCATGCTGACCCGGGAGGGCCCCGAGGCCCCTGGACGCGCCGCTGAGGCCTGAACCCGCTGCCCGGCCGCGCGGCGCCTCAGCCGAGAAGCGGGACGAGTAGGCGGTGATTGATGGCACGGCCGCGGGCTGATGGGGGGCCCCTCAGGCCCGGCCCCGTTCGGGCCTCGGCTCCTCGAAAAGCGACTCGCGCCTCTGGGAAGCCGCAGCCCCAGACCCCACTCGCGCTTCTCGCCCGGCGCCGCCGGAAAGCGGCCTCTTCAACGCCTGCCGGAAACCAGCCCGGCCCGGCATTTTACGACGTTCTCAGCGCTACCCTTTTCCGCTCCACGGTGACCTCCGCGCGGCCGGGTGCAGGCGGAGTCTTCCTCGATCCCGTGGTGCTCCGCGGCGCGGCCTTGCTCTCTTCCGGTCGCGGGACACCGGGCGTAGAGGGCGGTCGCGGCGGGCAGTGGCGGCAGGTGAGGAAGGAGGTGGCCGGTGCGGGGCCGCAAGGCCGGGCCGTGTCGGGGTGCCGGGAGCCGTCGAGTCTGCACGCCCGCAACGTGGCCGCTCGGCTTCCGCAGGAAGCACTGAATGGGCCTCGGAGCCAGGTGACATTGAGGCCGGCCCGCGGGGACTCCGGCCTCCGTGGCTCCAGGCTCGGAGGGCCGTCCCGAAGCGCCCGGTCCGTCTTCGCCGGTCGCGCGGCGGCTGCGGGCCGGCCTCGGACACTGACCTTGGGAGCGCCCGCTGGCCGAGGTCGCAGGCTGTGGGGAGGCGGGCCCGCGCTCTGTACCTGCAGCCTCCGCCCTTGCTCCTTCAAAGGTCCCTGCAACCCCTCCCGGGTTTTGCGGGGCTCCCGGGCGGCGCTCGGCTTCCTAGCCTTGAGGGCGCCAGTTGTTTCCAGTTGTTTGCTCACGCATGGGCTAGGCCCCAGGAGAGAAGTTAGACGCGGGCCTTCAGCCCTGACGTCATGCTTGTTTATTTTGCCCCGAGGAGGGTATTTTCCCACATCACCCTCACCATTCCTCCGAAGGGTCGATTTAAAGGGGACGGTGTAGGGTAGATGGACCTGAATCGAGGAGGACCGGGGTGAGGCGGGCGTCTACCAGGTTTTCCGCTCTCCTCAGGGATTGGAAATTGACCGGGGCTGTGTTGGCAGCCTTCTCCAATTTCCCCTTCTAGTCCGTGTAGATGCGGTATTAGGTTTTAAGCAAATACTCAGTTGAATGTGATGCGTGCCACCATCCCTGTGAGCTGTTACCTCCCCCCACCGCCCCCTGAAGAATGGAGCCTGTAACGGCAGCACAGTGCTTTAATGATCTCTAACTTTCTCACTGTCGCCTTGTTAACGTTTTTTCTTCTTGCCTTTTTTTGTTTGTTTGAGACGAAGTCTTGCTCTCGTTGCCCAGACTGGGATGCAGTGGCGCGATCTCGGCTCACTGTAATCTCTACCTCCCGGGTTCAAGCGATTCTCCTACCTCAGCCTCCCAAGTAGCTGGCATTACAGGCGTCCACTACCATGCCTGGCTAATTTTTGTATTTTTAGTAGAGACGGGATTTCATCATGTTGGCCAGGCTGGTCTCGAACCCCTGACCTCAGGTGATCCGTCCGCCTCGGCCTCTCAAAGTGCTGGGATTACCAGCGTGAGCCACTGCGCCTGGCCATTCCTTGTTTTTTTAAAAAGACCAATGTTCTGTTAATTACCTGAAGCTCGTATACATTATGGCAGTTGATTGATAATGAAGCTCCTTAAAAGCATGCCAACTACTAAGAAAAACCTCATTCTAGGTTATTTTGTGAATTCAAAGACAGTAATAAAGAATGGATCATTTGCGTTGGGGAGAAGCAACTGAAAGAATTTAATTCCAGAATGCTCTGGAACAAAAAGAAGACTCATTCCTTGCTGTTTGCCCTTATTCATAGAGAAGGTGTACATTTTTATCTTTCAGAATGTTGGCTACCAGGGTATTTAGCCTAGTTGGCAAGCGAGCAATTTCCACCTCTGTGTGTGTACGAGCACATGGTAAGTGTGACTTTTCTTACTTTTGAATAGGCTGAGCTAATTTCATTTTGCTCCTGCTGTGTATAAGGCCTTGTGCTGGAGTTTTAAAGACCTTAGTTTGGCTCTTGAGGGTCTTTAGGGGAGATACAAATATTCTCACAGGGCCCGGTTCTAGATTAAGAAGTGTTTAGGAATCAAATTGAATCTTTTCTGGATCTTTAGTGATACCGATATTTCCCCCCTTACCCTTCCCTTCCTTTCCACTTTTTTAAGCTCCAAGATCTACCCCTTTCAAAAGATCTTCTGCACCAAAACTAACCTTAATGACCTCCCTCCCCACCTTGCCCCCACAACTCCCAACCATTTGCATCACGTCTGTTTACATTATAGAGACAATGGAAACGAAAGAGCCTGGACTTCATAGCCTGAGCTGGGTTTTCATCTCATTTCTGTCAAGGACTAGCTACTGAAGCTTAGGAATCTCTTTGCTCACCTGAAGTATATGGACAGAGCTTAGTTCTGTGTCTGGCATACAGCACAGTTCGTTTTGCATGTATCTGGCATCTATCTACTTTATCCCAGACACTGTTAGGCACCGAGAAGAAAAAGAAGATGAAATACACACTCTTTCCAGGAGGCTGTTTGCAATCTGAAGAGGGACAGATGGATGAAGACAGTGTTTTATTAAGAGATGGCTCCCTGGTAGAAACATTTAGCCGGATGTGGGGTTCAGGGAAGGCTTTGGAAGAAACTCTCCATGTAGACTCTGTAGAGTGTGCACCCTGCCTGGTTAGAGCTGGTCTTGCCTGCCTTTCTGATCTCATTACTGACTGTTGTGCTCAAAAACCAAAAACCACCATCAGAACCACCCCTTCCCACTTGCTCACTGCCCCAGCCCCCTGGCCTTACTCCATTCCTCCTGTAGAGCCCTGAGTTGTGGATGGTCACTTCTGTCTAATCATTCACCCTCAATACAGATGTGCTTTTAGAACGGCCTCCCCTGACCACCCTTTGTCAAGAAGCTCCCTGTCACTTTACCTTGCTGTGCTTTTCCTTATAACACTGGATGCCTCATGAATGCATGTCTATTTGAGTATCACTGTCTCAGCCTGTTAGAGTGTAAGCCTTTTGAGGCCGGGGACCCTGCCCGTCTTCCTTGTTGCCGTATCTCCAGCACACAGGAGGCAGATGAAGACGAACTACAGGCTCTTAGACAAGTCTTGTCTGTTAACTTTTAACTTATGTAAGTCACACATGAATAATACATGAAACTGTTCTCAACCTAAGATATTAAAGCAGTCTGGAATACCATCAGCTGTCACTGAAGTCAGTTGGGATATTTGCGTGGTGATGCACCTGAGTGAGGGGCGCCCAGATATACCACATCTCCCCAGGAGAGGCTCAGCAGAAATCCGTCCATATTGAAGCAGTGACAAACATTCATTAGAATCTGGAGTCTGTTTTTCTCTCTCTTTAGAAGAAATGTTTGGTATATTAACCATTGCTTTTCCCTTAATTGCTGGGGGACCAGGCCTGAAGCTCTGAAGGACCCCTGAAACCATGAATTGGTCATTATTCTGGAAGATGCAATTTTCAGGTTTGCATGCACCAAGGTTTTGAAGGTTTACATCCTTATAATAGCTTTCCTACCCCCCAGTCTCCCTGTCATGGTATTTACAACAGCTTTACAAGATGTAATTCATATAACAGTCACCCATTTAAAGTGTATGCTCCAGTGGTTTTTAGTATATTCATATAATGAGTTTTGTCATTAGCACCACAGTCGATTCTAGAACATTCTCCTCACCCATATTTACATTTATTTTTAATAACTCTCGTGTAAGCTGAGTGTTTTAAACTTTAGAAACCTCTGGGGGGTGCTGAACTGGATAAAAATATTCAGTATACAACTGTTCTTTATAGTTCACTCATCATTTTCATAGAATTAGGGTTTTAAAATTAGAAAGTAATTCAGGCCATTTCCACCTCATGTCCCTCAAATCCCACCTCAGTTTTGGGATGAGGTGTCAAATATAAGTTTGTAAGTACACTAGTCATTTGCATGGCTAAGATACACGTGTAGAGAACTCTATATATGACTTTGCTTAAAGCTGAATGTTGATTTACTGTTCACATGATTTGGGAGATTTTAGTCCCGGGGACTGAGCTAATGGAGTTGAAGCATTGTTGTGGGCATCATCCCTCCAGACTAGTGTGTAACACAAAGAGTTCTTGCAGATGTAGGACAGAATTGGAGAAACAGCTTCTAACAGTGGGATGACTCTCAGTACAACCAAGCTCTTCCTTACCTTTCTGAGTTCTGAACTTTTTCCCTCATGATACCTGTTGCTTTGAAGGCACTAAAATAACAGAAGCAGATAGAGCAGAAAGCCCCACTCAGATCTTCCTTCCTCCTACGTGTAATAGTTTGTGTCTTGCCTTGTTAGTTTTGTGTGTTTCATTGCGTGTATGTGAGTATGTGCACATGATTTCCAGAAAGGAGAAGCGCACGATGTTGCCCGTGCTCTGTGACTCCTGAGTGCACGCTCCCTCTACATTCGGGCTCCTAGGTCGGCCTCATCCTGTGGACGTTACCCCTTGTTTCCTGCCATCCACACATTCCTGATGACCCTCTGCTCTACTCTTTCTCCAGAGTACTTTTTCCAAACATGTGATTTGCACATTTGTTATGTTTATTGTTTGTTCTCCACTTTTAGAACTGTTAAGTGCCACTAGGCAGGAATGATTGATTTGTTCACTGATGATCCCACATCTCTAGAACCCTGCCTTGCCTGTAGAGGGTGCTTGGTAAATATGTTTTGAATGAATGGCTGCATGATCCGCATTCCTAAGAGCTAGCACGATTTCTCACTCAGTCCTGGTTGGACACAGGTTCCCTGGAACAGTGCTGTCGTGGTTATCTTTTCACTTGTCTTTGTTTCTGAACTTGAAACGCTTTCAATGTTTTATTGTTTTTGTTCTTCCTCATTAGTTTGAGTCCCTTGCAGATAGGCTTTCATTTTGTCCAGTCTCCTGTTCAGGGAGCCCTGAGGGCCTTGGCCCACGTCTGCAGGTAGCTGTTTTTTATTTTTATTATTTTATTTTTATTTTTTATTTTGAAATGAAGTCTCGCTCTGTCGCCAGGCTGGAGTGCAGCGGTGTGATCTCAGCTCACTGCAACCTCTGCCTCCCGGGTTCAAGCGATTCTTCTGCCTCAGCCTTCTGAGTAGCTGGGACTACAGGTGTGTGCCACCACGCCCGGCTAATTTTTTGTATTTTTAGTAGAGACAGGGTTTCACCATATTAGCCAGGATGGTCTCGATCTCCTGACCTCATGATCCGCTAGCCTTGGCCTCCCAAAGTGCTAGGATTACAGGCGATTCTAGAACATTCTCCTCACCCATGTGAGGTGGCCATGGCCAGAGCCACCGCGCCTGGCCCTGTAGGTAACTGTTAATGTAGGAAGTGCTGCCTCTGGGCACCTTGGCCCCAGGCTTCATTAGCAGTTGCCCCGGTGGGTTTTTGTTGGCTGTGATGAAAAGTGCTTCTGTTCTGCCTCCGCCACACTCCTGCAGCTGTTTAAACAGTGGCTGTGGCCCCCTGAGATGACCCAGGGTTTCAAGGTGTGCACACGTGTGTGTGTTTCGGTTTTAGAAGTATCACCTTGTGTGTGACTCTCAACCTACATGGATTTTCAAAGATTTATTCAATGTGTTTTTCAGAAAGTGTTGTGAAGAGCGAAGACTTTTCACTCCCAGCTTACGTGGATCGGCGTGACTATCCCTTGCCGGATGTGGCCCATGTTAAGCACCTGTCTGCCAGCCAGAAGGCCTTGAAGGAGAAGGAGAAGGCGTCCTGGAGCAGCCTCTCCATGGATGAGAAAGTCGAGTGTGGGTATTGAGGGAACTCACAGGCACGCCCAGCAGCTCTGGGAAGTGTGTGTGTGAGAGCCTCTGCTCAATTCTGGGCCTACTGTCTAGAGAGCAGTCTTGCATAGGAGGGCTGCTCTGCTCAGTTTCGGGGTCACTGTCCCAGGGCCCCAGTTTTTGTGCTCTGCCAGCTGATGGGATCTTTTGCTAGGCCCCCTTCTCTGTGCTGAGTGGAGGTAGCCTCTCAGCATATCTGCTGGGTAAGACATTGTTTACTGTAAATTATTGAAAGAAACTCAGCAAAATGCATACTGTTTGGTATGAAAGGGGCATAAAAATAATGAGATTAAATAGACCCTAACACTGTAATTCAAGTAAGAAATAATTTTGCAGTTTTAATTTCCACCTAAAGCAAACTCCATGCATTTTCTTCCTTCCTTTCCCCGTCACATGCCTGCCTGGGCACGTGTGTGCACGTACGTGCATGCCCATGATGTGGCCCGGGTTGGTATATCCTTCAGCTCTGTGTTTCCTCCCTCACAAGTGTGGTTTTGGGGAGCAGTGGTTGAAAATTGCAGAGGAGGGAGCTGCTGACCTTTGTGCCTGTAAATGGCTGTCCTCTCTGCCCCCAGTGTATCGCATTAAGTTCAAGGAGAGCTTTGCTGAGATGAACAGGGGCTCGAATGAGTGGAAGACGGTTGTGGGCACTGCCCTGTTCTTCATCGGGTTCACCGCGCTCGTTGTCATGTGGGAGAAGCTCTATGGTGAGTAGAGAGGGAGGAAGGCATGGGCGCCTGGACTGGGGCTCCAGCCTGCAGTGCCCAGTGGTGGACTGTGGGGGACCTCCACACCTTGAGGCCATGAGATAGGGACTCCATTCCAGAGTGCATCTCAGGATTGTTCTCCAGGCCTAGGTGACCTGGAGAACTGAAGTGGTGGGAGGTTAGTTTATAAGCCAGCATCTGATTATTCATAGTTGACTATGCGTGTTGGGTGGTGAAATACCTTGACTACTTTGGACAGCGCACCATGTTTTCAGTAGCGGTTTATGTGCTCACCAGTCACTTAGCAAAAGATGACCTCGTGAAGGTTCGAGCACGGAGAAGGGGACTCCTTTAATGACTGTCTCGACTGCTGTGAGGACTGCATCTCAGCAGCCGGCATCTGGGAGTCCCGACCTGACCGCTGGGGTGTGGGCATTGCTGAGTTGCTTGCTCGTGGTAGCGACTCTTCCCCGAGGTTCTTTCTGTCCAGGCAGAACAGGCATTTTTGCATTCTGAATAGGTATATTCTCGTACTTTTGGTTTGAATGTGGATGTGGGTTAATAACAGACCCGAATCGATTTGATCTTCTAGGTCACCTCGGGCTCTGTTTGTTAGATCTTGTTATCCATCGCCTTTAGAGAGGACCTTCTGCTTTTAGCTTGTTTTGTTGCTACCTTTTTACAAACAAAGGGATAATTTTAAAATGTCAGTGGTTGCCAGTTGTCAGAAACCGTGTGTTTGAGCAGGTGTTGAGTGGCAGGTGGCTCTGCTGATCTAGTGGCTGGTATGTTGGGAGGATTTAACTTGTGTAAGGGATTGGCATAGAAACAATCTGTTAAGACACCTTGCCCATAACCTGTCTTCCACCGTAGTGTACGGCCCCCTCCCGCAAACCTTTGACAAAGAGTGGGTGGCCATGCAGACCAAGAGGATGCTGGACATGAAGGTGAACCCCATCCAGGGCTTAGCCTCCAAGTGGGACTACGAAAAGAACGAGTGGAAGAAGTGAGTGAAGCTGGCCTGCGCCTGCCTCTGTCACCTCCATGCAACTCCATGCCTATTTACTGGAAACCTGTTATGCCAAACAGTACTACTGCTAATAAAATGACCAGTTTACCTGAAACCCTTTGTGATCAGTTCTTTAATGATACCTAAATGAAAGCTCATTAAAACAATAGGTTTCTCCCAAGGGTCTGGAGTTAATATATTTTGGGTGCAAATGAAATGGCAAAAATCTAGTATCTTAAATTGTGTAAGGGGACATTATATAAAGACTGAAAATGTAGAATCCCTTGATGTAGGAAATTTGAGGTTTTTGGCAAGAGATCGTTATGTAAGTAAAATCCCATTATAGTAGGCACACCGGCAGGAGTTACCACAACCCTTTTTTTTTTTTTTTTTGGGAGACAGAGTCTTGCTCTTGTCGCCCAGGCTGGAGTGCAACAGCGCGATCTTGGCTCACTGCAACCTCCACTTCCCCGGTTTAAGCGATTCTCCTGCCTCAGCCTCCCAAGTAGCTGGGATTACAGGTGCCCACCACCACGACCGGCTAATTTTAGTATTTTTTAGTAGAGATGGGGTATCACCATGTTGGCCAGGCTGGTCTTGAATGCCTGACCTCAGATGATCTGCCCGCCTTGGTCTCCCAAAGTGCTGGGATTACAGGTGTGAGCCACCGCGCCCGGCCTATGAACCACTTTTCTTCTGGGGCTGTACCTCCCTCCCTACAGTTGTCACGTTGGCTAGGGTGAGGGCCACCAGCTCAGGGAGGACAGCCCCACTCTGAGCTCTGACTGAGGTGTGGGTGCTGGCCCCGTCTCCCTTGGACTGCTTGTGGCCTGCTGAGCTCCCTGGCTACTCACAGCTCTTTGATCTAAAAAGTAGTCACAAGGCCAATGTCAAAGCGGTGGTCTTACGAGCATCATCCTGGACCCTGGCAAGCTGTCTCCAGGACTTACCCTGTTACCTGTCCCACCCAAGACTGGTTCCCAAACTGCAGACTCTGTCTGGAGAAGAGAACACATCTTTGAATGCAGCCTGTGTGCTGAGACTAGCAGAGACGGCTGGCAGAGAGGGGTCTCCTGCCAGCACTGGTGGGTAGGAATGAGGCAAGGGGAGAGTGGCCCCAGAGAAGCACAGCTGTAGCCAGGAAGGGAAAGGGGCCCCTTAGAGCTTGCCCAGAGGAAGTGCATGGGACAAGGACCTTGGCTGTCTGGAAGGTTTGGGCTAAGTTCAAAATCAAGAGCAGGTCAAATACACCCCAATCGAGTGTCTTCCAGTGCTGTAGAAACGCCCTTGATCCCTTGTTCTCCAAGGACCAGCTGAGCCCCCTGGGAGAGTGGGATGTGGGGGGCTACAGGGCCTTGTGGAGTCTTGCCATGAGAACTAGTACGGACCCCTTGATGGCTTAACTACAAAAGCCCACACTGCCCCATGTGGGGGATGCCATTTTCAGTTCCTTGTCCAAGGGTGGGCTCCTGGGGGTGGTGGGGGAAGCTGAAGTAGTTGACCCCGGCCCCACTGGTCCCTGATCCTGGTCCCTGCCTGGCTCTGGTGGAGCCACCTGCCCAGGGCCAGGCAGCAGGTCAGGCTCATCACCACCCGCATCTCCCTCAGGAGAGGCCTGGAGGAAGGAGCTGTCACCCCAGATGGAGGCAGAGATGTCTGCCTGTGGAATCGAGCCTGCTGTACAAGCCCTCTGCTTTTAACCTGGAGTAGCTCTGAGTGAGTTCTCTTGAGAATAGTCAGGCTCTTCCTGGCCTTTCCCTCCTACTGCTTAGGAAGCTGTGCTCTCGACCTTGCTAAGAGAATTGCCGTTTGTCCATCAGATTCAGATTCCAAAACATGGCTGTCCAACCTGATTTTGTCCTCACGCTTAAAAAAAATGAAAATCTCTTTACTGCCATTTTAGTGGGAATTTGGGAGGCCACAGGGGTTCATGGCTGGATTCAGCCCACGATCCTTCATTGGTCACCCACGGGCCATGGGGACGTGATGCTGACCTGACTCCAGGTGCTCACTTTCCCAGGCTCACGGGGAGACAGCAAGCAAAACAAATACACAGAGAAGGAGAGGATCCAGCAGGGTGGAGGGAGGGGGCACAGGGAGAAAAGGTTATGGGTGGGGGTTGGTTGGGCAGCTGTCACTGAAGAGGTGACATTTCGGCTGAGACTTGAAGATGAGATGAGCCACTCATGCTGGAGCCTGAGGGGAGGTCGGACTGGCAGGTGGATACAGCACCAAGCATGTCCGCAGGCACGATGCTGGAGGCAGAATGCGCTTGGTGTGTTCAAAGGACGGCAAGACGGCCAGGCAGAAGCACTGTGGGAGGAGGCAGGGTGGGGCCGCGGCAGGGTCCTTAGAGGCCAGGGCATGTGGCTGCAGCCCGCAGGAAGAGGAGGACGGAGCTCTTTCTGAGTGTGTGTGTGGTCTCATTTCACCCCTAGACTGTCCCTCCCAGGGTGCTCAGGGAAAATATTGAGGCTCCTTATTGAGGCATGAAATTGGAGCAGGAGGACTTTGAGCAAGGTGAGCCCTTGGAACAACCTGGCTTAGCTCACTGGAGGCAAGAGGGGGCCCTGTCTCCCCAGGCCCGGGCCTCAAGGGAAGATGCCTCAGAGATGAGGCTCCTGACCCATCCAGGGCCTGCATCTCCATGTGGGGCCATCACAGAGACCTCGCCCTTCAGCCTAACCTTGAAACTCCTTGAAATTTAAGATACTCCGTCCCTCTGTGTTACTCTTCTTCCTTCTGTGCTCATCTTCCTCCCAGCTGGCAGTTTTCTACTCTCCAGAATTTAAAAATTCCCGGACAGGCATGGTGGCTTGAGCCTGCAATCCCAGCTACTTGTGAGGCTTAGGTGGGAGGATTGCTTGAGGCCAGCAGTTTTTTGTTTTTTGTTTTTTGTTTTTTTTTTTTTTTTTTTGAGACGGAGTCTCACTCTGTTGCCCAGTTTGGAGTGCAGTGGTGTGATCTCAGCTCACTGCAGCCTCTGCCTCCTGGGTTCAAGCAGTTCTTCTGGTTCAGCCTCCCGAGTAGCTGGGATTACAGGCACACACCACCACACCTGGCTAATTTTTGTATTTTTAGTAGAGGTGGGGTTTTGCCATGTTGGCCAGGCTGGTCTCGAACTCCTGACCTAAGGTGATCCACCTGCCTCGGCCTCCCAAAGTGCTGGGATTACAGGCGTGAGCCACCATGCCCAGCTGAGGGCTGCAGTTTTGAGACCAGCCTGGGCAACATAGCAAGAACCTGTCTCTTACAAAAAAAAGAAAAAGCCAGGCGCGGTGGCTCATGCCTGTAAGCCCAGCACTTTGGGAGGCCAAGGTGGGCAGATCACGAGGTCAGGAGATTGAGACCATCCTGGCTAACACGGTGAAACTCTGTCTCTACTAAAAAGTACAAAAAAAATTAGCTGGGTGTGGTGGCGGGCGCCTGTAGTCCCAGCTACTCAGGAGGCTGAGGCAGGAGAATGGTGTGAACCCAGGAAGCACAGCTTGCAGTGAGCAGAGATCGTGCCATTGCACTCCAGCCTGGGTGACAGAGCAAGACTCCATCTCAAAAAACAAACAAACAAAAAACCAAAAAAAGCAAAGAGGGGAGGGGGTTCCAGGAAGATGGTGGTAGAGTGTTTGAATTTCCCTGAATCCCCATGTAAAGACAGTAACCAGATAGCAAAACCATAAACCCAGTGAACAATACTAGGTGAGGAGATAGTCCCACGAACCCCTCATGATCTGCAGAATACAAATGGGTGGGGACAAGTCACTTGCGCCACAGTCCGGCACAGCATCAACTTGGGTGCAGTAGGATGCGGAGGGAAGCAAGGGGACAGCAGGTGGACCTGGGACACAGCAGCGGGACACTCACTGGGAAGCACGGCGACCTTCCCGTGAAGCTGAGAGGCCGCCCCCTGCAGAAGCAGGTGATTGTGAGGCTTCTCACTGGGTCCCGAAGGGGCTGGAGCGCTGTCTACACCCACCCTCCCAGGCTACCGTCCCCGGGCAGGGACCCACACTGCAGAGAAACTGCTGGGAGTGGAAGGGGACTCACCAGGACAGGCAAAGAAAGCAGAGGCAAGATCCAGATTCCCGTGGGGAAAGTGTAGAGCCCGAAATCCCAGAGGCCAGGTCCATGCTTTTGAACCTCAAAAGAAAACAACCCCAGCGGGGAGCTCTTGTGAGTAGAAAAGTTTTCCTCAGCCCCGCCTCCTTCCAGAAGTGCAGGAAAGTGAGTTTGGGCTGCAATGAAGAATCTGCACTGTAATGGATTGAAATCCCTGGGTGGAGAGACAGGCAAAGCAGCAGGAGAGCATGGGCAGGGCTCAGAACGAGAGCAGGGGACACGAGCTGGGGCTGTGGAGAAGGAACCATGGCACAGGGACGGAGACATGGCATGGCTGCGGCCACGTAGGTTTCTATTCCTCGGTGAGCAGGTCTGGCAGACCCCACCCCCAAAGGCTGAGGGAGCCCAGAGGCTGAAGAAAGAGGCTGACAAATTCAGTTTCTCTGAAATAATTAATTAATTAATTTTTTTTTTTTTTTTTTTTTTAAAGATACAGGATCTCCATCTGTCCCCCAGGTTGGAGTGCGGTGGTGCAATCATTGCTAACTGCAGCCTCGACCTCCTGGGCTCAGGCGATGCTCCTGCCTCAGGTAGCTGAGTAGCTGGGACTACAGGCATATGCCACCAGACTCAGCTAATCTAAAATTTACGTGTACAGATAGCATCTCGCTATGTTGCTCAGGCTGGTCTTGAGCTCCCGGCTTTAAGCGATCCTCCCACCTGGGCCTCTCAAAGTGTTGAGAGTACAGGCGTGAGCCACTGCACCTGGCCAGAAATAATAGGAACTTAGGAACAGCAACAGGGACTTACGAACAGATAGTGGCTCCCCATCCCTGCCTTCCAGAAAGTCATCTTCATACAGCAAGCGTTTAGGGTAAAGACATGGGCGGCTGATCACACCTCAGACTTCCCTGCCAAAACTCGTTACCACTGGGGAGGTTAGATAAGCATCTTTGGGAGGGGTTATGAACGCCAAAGGCGCTGTTTAAAGACTTTCCTGCAGAACAGCTTGGTGCGCAGGAGTCCAGCATTGGGCATCATGGCAGTTTTGCTTCAAGA